ACAATGAAATCATTACCACTTCTAGGGCATTATTTCCAATACACAAACCGATATGTTTGTGTATTTAAAATAATGCCCTTTAGTAGCGCGGTCATTTTACTGCGCGTGACGGGTAAGTATACTCAGATTGCGCGATTAGTTGGCAGTGGAAACTGACACCCTTTATGTGTATATTCTGAGCACGATATCACTTCCACCTTCTACTTGCCTAATCAATAATAATATCTAAATAGAAAACTACTGTGAGACTCAGACATATTAACTAAAGTAACAGATAATTTACCTGTTTAAGTCGAATTTTTACTCGGCATGTTTCGAACCAATCCTTAATCATGAGCTTAATTTTAGCTGAAATTTAATTCAATTACAAACTTCGGGAGGCTTGTACCCAGCAGCATTCGTTAGATTATGTAATAACAAACTCAATGTCCACTTCAAATATAAAGATATTTGATTTGAAATATAATATAAACGGAATTAAACTTATCATCTCGGAATGCTCTAACTATATGAGTATTAATACGTAAAAAATAATACTTGCACGTGAATTTTATTATTTATGTCTACTTTAATTTTGAGAGTTAAAGTACGCATAAGATTGTAATTAATTAATTAATAATTCACAAAAGGAAAAAACAGTTATTATTTTGCGAAAATAATACATTGTGCAGTTATTATACTTATTTATAATTAATTTGCATTATCCGAAACTTACTCAACTCAGATCGCGCCATTAGGTGCTGCAAAAATAAATAGGTAAAACTGATATCCAAATCAGAGCATACTTGTGGAGGTTATCAGTTTCCAGTATCAAGGGATTGCGCGATCAGAGTATACCTACCTCGCGGGGCAAAATATGAAAAATCAGCAAGTATGAAAAGATGGTAACCGGAGACGCTTAGTTAACTGGACGGCGGCCAACAAAGGAAGTGCCATGAGATATGTGTTTTTTCTTTGTTCTACATTGATACTGCGAAGAGTACAAAGAGCTTTATTTATAGATAACGTCTGCTGCGCTTTGTTATGCGACTAAGCTCAAACTAATAAATTTCTTCCTTCCTAAAACTTATTCTAGGATTTATTCGTAATGTAGGGAACAAGATAAAGGCGGAAATTAGCATATTTCCGGCATAATTTCACACTTACCTCTTCTTTAAATTTTGCCTCGTGCATTTAATTTAATTAATACGAATAAACAGGCTATGTATTTTACTAAGACAAGCGATTCTTAATGTAGCTATAGCAAACTGGCTGTGTTTTCAATTCGACGTTTAAAATATCAGTCAGCTACTTTGTAGCTGTTAAAAAGCAATTAAGCGATCGAGTAGTCCTTGAACATTGTTTTAAAACAGGTAATCATTTTAAGTGGATATTTTAGTTAAATTATTCATTAATTTCGTAGAATCTATTATGTAATTATACAAAAATTTAAACATTTTAAATACATATCTAATAAAGTTTTATTTTCCTTTTAGTTTTTAATTACAAAGCAGTAAAATCAATTAGGTACTGAAAACTCGACTTACAACGGGTTTTGTTTTGTGCAAAAGTTTTTAACAAAGTTAATTTGCATAAATGAAACGTAACGAGATATAATGAATTTAAAGTGTTCAAACGGTCATAAGGCACCTGTCACTCAGAAGTGACAGGTGTCCTATCACCTAGAAATTAAATCTTCAAAGTGAGTGCGGTAGCATTGTTTCTTTTAAGGAGATCATTTCGCTTTTGCTTTAGAAGTTCGCAGGTTTCCGTTAGAGACTTAACTTTTCCTTCCAAATTGTTTTTGTTTCTGAAAAACACAGAACATAACGACACCATGAACAATAAATATCCTTTGTACTTGCATGCCTAAAAGATTTATTTGTTTTTATTATTTTTTTTATAAGGCCAAGTGGAGGACAACCAAGTCGCACACCTGGTGGTAAGGGACAAGCCTGTCCATAACAGTGGTAGTCCACTACCACTCTGTGCTTTAAATCACAAAAATCTGAGGGGCACCGCCACTGCGCCCGTCACCCTGAGACGTACATAAGTTGACAAGTCCCATGTGCCTGCAATTTCACCAACACTATTACCCATCAAAACCGGAACGCAGTAATGCACACATTGCGGCTTGGCGGCAGAAATAGGTAAGGTGGCAGTACTTCCCTGGACGAACCCTTTCACGAAGAGCTCTACTGTCACCAAATAATTTATTTAAAATTTATTTACACGCACGGTCCATCTGTTGCATGCTAATGTGGAGTGATAAACATAATTTATGTTTTACGTAAGTAATAAGCTATGTTTAATCAGCTTTTGCATGAAAACAAAAGCAACGTTGCCCATTTATAGATTTTATGAGTTACACAAATGCGTCACGATATAATTTTGACGTGTTTAAAACTCACATAAGGTATTTTGAATTGGACATTCTATGTGTTTACACTGCCCTGGGCACATTTACATTTCAATTTAGTAATAAGTAAATTTTAATACTTCATACCCTCCTTATAAAGCCACAATTTATCATACGTTAAAAACCCTTTTATCAGATGAAACTTACAAAAATAATACGGACTGTAAAGGAGAAAGATGTTCTCTCTACTACAAAAAAAAAACCAAATATAAGCGCTTTAAATCTGGAAAAATAGTTTCTTTTCCTTTGTCTAACATTCGCGAAAACCTAAGAACTCTATAGGTGTTCTTATGCTAATGGTACTTAAAATGTAACACCCCGTGGGGACACTGCAACATTCTGAGGGCACTATGCCCTTACTTTACTAACTACATTATTAAAATAAAATTAGGAATAATTAGAATATAACTAAACAGAATTTTATGCAATATCAAGAATAAATATTAGTAATTCCTTTTACATTCAGGTCTCATTCCTGATACACTTATGTCTGGCTATTTGATGTAATATTTACAAATTATATACTTGGTAGTTCGCACAGTTTTAAAGTATTATTTTCTAAAAAGAATTATTTTGTAGAATAAAAATCTTTACTTCGAAGATAGCTCTTAAGATGGATAACGAAGTCTTTAAAACTATCTGCTGGAATGCATACATATATGGTGCGAAATATAGAGTTCTCAGGATTTCGTGTTTGTTGTTTATTGGATCGGATATGAAACTATTTTTTTCGGATTAAAATCGCTAATATTTATTTATTCAAATAAACCAACGTTTCGGGGTCTTTTCAGGTTTCATGGTGACAGCTGACCTGAGATGGTATTCGTCATCAAAACAGTTGTCTAATATTAATTTAACCACCTTATTCTGAAGTATTAGCAACAAAAATATTTAATTGTAATTTACGTCGTACCTTAGTTTTAATTTGCCAAGTGTGCTTGACAAAAAAATTGCGATTAGATCCTAAAAAATAGTGTCATTTCTAAAGTAATAGATTAGTCAAAAAGTCCGTACAGTATCAAAGCAAAAGTGAAAATTATAAAAAAATATTAAAATTTAATAAATTATTTATTGGCCGTAATATGGCCAATAAATAATTTTCTACAATCTTTTGCCATCTTTTAGGTAATTCTAGGGTTCCCCTTCCTTAAAAATTCCTGTCTTGTAAAATGCAGCTCCAAGTATTGTTTCTCTTTGTGATCAAAGTCGTGTCAAAGAATTTTGTAAAGATCAAAACGAGTAAAATCTCAAGGGGCTATGTCGGGTGGAACACGGTGGATGAGGTAACACATCCTAACCTAACTGCAATAGTTTTTGACGCTCAGATCTTTGGGATTTAAAGCTCTGAGTGGCACAGATGCCGTTATGGACAGGCGTGTAGCTTACCATCAGGAGCACGACTTGTTCGTCCTGTCACTTGATATTATAAAAAAAACTTATAGGAACGTAATACATTGACCTACCAATAACGGGATGACGAGTCTATCTATCTATGTATGTATCTAGTACGAAAACCACGAAAAAATGTCCGGAGTTAACCTATATAAACGTAGTGAGATGTAAAGAAATATAAAAAAACTAAAACATTATTAATTTAAAGGTACAAAAATTCACCGTAATCAGTGGAAACTTAACAAAAGGCACCAAATTTGGCTTATTGGGAAAATTACTTGGCCACAAAAGTAATTAATCAATATCGTCAATATTTACATATTGTCAATGTTGATTAATTTATATACAATTTATATGTTGAATTTTATACAAATTCATTTAAAGATGTAGTAAAGAATTGTGCAAATATACGTACAAATATTATAAATGTGAAAATAACTGTGTCTCTACGTGTACTATAAGAAACGTATTGATGTTTCGATTTTCTAGATTCCAACGGTTTTAGATTCCGGTTTATAACAAAACCGTTATGTTTCCGACATTTTTTGTTTATCAAAAATAAAAGATTAAGTAAGCGTAGATTAGTTTTGTAATATTTCTAAAAAATACAATTAATTGGAATTACGAAAATTCCAGCAAACGTTATTTCGGGAAATGTATTTTCGGAATTCTCATGGTAACCCCAAGCCGTAAAACGAGTACAACAATTTTTATTTATTACTAACATCTAACAAAAATATATTTTCAAGATAAGATTAAGATCAAAGGAACTCTATAGTTCTTAAATGTTCCAGTCGCTTGCGGTTCGAACAATTGAAATTGACGTACCATTACGTCTCTTACTGTCTTTTGCGCATGCGATTTGTAGGATAACGACAGTTAGCTTTTTGACTATTTTCTTTGCTTTTGTAATTTATATTTACGATTAATTTAAATATAAACATCTCTTATATGATAAGTACGGTAACCATAATATATCTACTACTTAATGAAAATATGATACACTGTCCTGTTTTTTCATTTTACTTGAGTAATTTTTATAAGTTTCTACTATACAATACGGCATGAAAGACGACTGTCTGTCGACCAAACGAAGACTGACACGCGATTGATGCTCTATTTGCGATTTAATGGCCTATATGTTCGGACACTTTTTAGCGCGGACCCGACGTCCATTTATTGGTAGTTCAATGACGTAACAAAACAGATCTTACACTATTTCAAAAAGATTTTCAGGTATATCACTTTTCAATTCTTCAAATTGTCTCCTTTTTTCTTCTACAGCAGACTTCTGATGTTTAAAATCGTTTTCAAGTTCGGATATCGTATTGTTTAATTTTTCGATTTGAGATAGCATTTCCTCTTCATTCTATTGGAAATAATGGTTCAAGTTATTTTAATATATGTAGTCATATATAAGTTAACATGTAAGCAATAATGAATAGTGGCAATTTTATACAATGATGTACTGAAAAATTTATTTATTTCACGATACTTTGCATAAGAGGAGTAAAATAACATACTGTAGAATGTTGCGATTCGTGTTTTTATACTACTACGAGACATAGCGTAAATCTGTAGCACAGATCAGTAACTACATTAACTATCAATTTCATGACGTAAACCTCAACAATGGAACGGATGTTCATAAAAAACCACCTTGAGTATAGCTTTAAATAGAAAAGATCTGAGGGGCACTGCCACTGCGCCCGTCACCCTCAGACATAAGTTGACAAGTCTCATGTGCCTGTGATTTCACCAGCACCCTTACCCTTCAAAACCGGAACACAGTAATGCTGACATTACTGCTTAGCGGCAGAAATGGGAATTTATGTTTTGTAAATACATTGATTGTTAACTTTTATCATATATAAATTACATAGCATAATTAGTTTTCTAAAATCACTCTTTGAAGATTGTGAAAAATGTTGTTTAAGATTGAATAGAAAATTATTATACTATCGCTTGGGTTTTCATTAATCTGTAAATAGTGTGCTCTTCAATACCAATATTGAATTATGAGTAATTCGGATTTTTACAACAATTTTCAAAAACTGAGTTAACAGGGTTTGGCAATGTATAAGCAAGGAAAACCAATCACATCAGCCGACTCGTTTGCTCCCGCTATTACATTAAAATGAATCCGTAGAGGCGAAGAACAAATCCATAGATGCTACAATCATTAATCTGCATAAACGCATTAAGTGTTGTACTAACGTAATGCTTACTACGTGTATGCCATTATGTTACGCGATGTTTTCCTTAGAGCTCACTCTAAGGAAAACATCGCGTAGCATAACGCTGCCAACAGATGGACTGCATCTCTGCAGTTAATGCGTGTATAGTCGATACGATAGTCCAAAAATGAAAATAGCCTTTGAAATAGAGAATATATGTATGTTTTTATGTTTGAAACAACTTGATCTTTAGTAGAGTACTTGAGGGTTTAATCAACTTAATGGTAAAACAAAAACATGGTTGGCGCAACTTTTGTCGAGGGCTTTATATCATTTGCTCTGATCTTATTTTTTTTGTCATGGCACCTTTGTTTATATAAACAAAGACAATTTTTATCACTAATTCCATCGCAGAGTATAGTCAGCGATTAAGGACGTGAATTTGTTGGCAAGTTAACATTGAGGATTTCGATAGCGACATGTTTATTTCCTTGATAAAAAGTAAAGTCAGCGTTTGGAATCATAAACGTTCTGAATACCTCCTGACATAAGCACGCTGCGATAACTGCTTGAAGTCAGCGTCGACTGCATATATCAGTTCTAAGAGTACCTAAATATCGACTTTGCGCATGCAGTCGGTGTAGTAACAGCCTAAGAGGTTATTAGTAGGTACATAGGGTAATTTTAAATATTAAAAAAGCTTGTTATAATAGACCCAGCACCTCTTTACAATATAAATGAAACTTTAACTACTTCGTCCAAATTTGCTAAAATGTTAGTTACTTCCTTTCCAAATTAAGCGACAGTATATATCTATTTTTTATTGTAAGCACCATACCTGATAATTAGTGCCCAACCATTCAACTAGCGAATAAATTGGTACGTTTTCACTCTTGTCAGGCCAGAAACGGTGAATTTATGTAAAATATAATTATATATCTGTAGGTGAGAGCTAAAGAGCCCAAATAGTAATTTTTACTACAGAGCGTTTTAAAAAGAGTGAGATTCGGAATCAGGCATTTAAAACATCTTAAGGTCAAATAAAATATGTTAAATAATAAATAACGCACACACTCAACATAGCCCCGCTAGGGAAACCCTGTGCCGCGGGTGCCATGGACACACACATAGACAACAACAAATTACAGCCAAACTCGCGAGAGAAATACATGTAGGCCATACAACAATTTCTCCCGGCCCGGGAATCGAACCTGGGACCTCTGCGTGGCAGTCCGCCATGGTAACCGTTCGGCCACAGAGGCAGTTAAATAAAAAATGAACGACGATAAAATTTTATGTCTTTTACCAATGCGTGATTTTTAGCATTCTAAAGCAATGTTTGTAATATCAAAGCGAGATTTAAATTCCTAAATATGGACTTAAAATCCTTTACCTTTCTCCTTATTTTATTATAATTATAAAATATATCTATATATATTTTATAATTATAATTAAATAAGGAGAGAATATATATAGATATATTTTATAATTATAATTAAATTTAATAAATTTTATCTATGCTTCAAACCTGCTTATGGAATATTATCAGAACTGGCCTAGTAAATTATTATTATGAGCGGTAATACGTGTCTACGTACATAATAAATTCGTGCATTTCTGAATCGCTCAGTTTTCTCCCGCAATGAGTCTTCGTATTTTCGGCTGCAAAAATACAAGTTATTTAGTACTCTATTTGATTCTTGGTTCATTGGGTAGCATAATATTTGAAATGCGTTGGTTTTGTACTGGAATAGACCTGATGGATAGAGGGGGGACTACGGGTTCCCCGGTAAGATCAAGGTAAGCCAGCTAATTTAGATTCAACGTCTTTGAGGTGGCAATCGTAAGTTGTGCAATGCAAGGAATTGGGTGTGCCAATAGCTCCGATACCTATCTGGAAAACAGGGAGGGTACCTACTGGAATGGGTACTGAACGTGCACCCAGGTCCGCTGCAAAGTCCCTGTTCTTGAACAGGTTATAGTGTCCTTCCCGTATAACCAAGAGGTTGATAGGGAGGTTCGCTATAAACAAAACTTATGTAGAAATATACGGGATTAGCCCCAGAACAAACACCAATTTCACAAGTACGATATTTATATTAAGTATATTAGTTTGAACTCCAAATCCTACATAGGTAGGTGAACCTTATCACACTTAGCAAATATAATATGTGACAGCCTTTATCAGCTCTCCACGGTTCAATGCTTTTTTTCCGATATGAATGTAGGTACTTAAAAGACTAGCTATGTTTTGAAACATTCAAAATCAGCTAACTGAGATGGTAAAGTCATTAACCAGGAACATTCCCGCACGACGTACAATTCCTTTGCTGTACATTTGGCAACACCCTGGGCAACAATCAGCGAGTACCTTACGTCGATTGGCAAATCCTTTCACCACGATGGCAAGCATTACAGACAGTGTATGCCAATGATATTGTACTTGTGTGTATACCATCGATACGATAAGAAGATCGCGTTAACCTAAGAATTTGAAAAATATAAATATTTTGTGAAATAAATTTGTAGTGATTTACCAATAACTATTTATTAACTATCATGTAGAGGTAGGTAAGGTTTGCCTTTATTGTGCAGGTGAGCGTTGACAGAAAACAAACAAACTTCCCAAACAATGCCAGCAAATTGGAAAACGTAACAAAAACGTTGGTCAACAATTGCTGCTTGCTTCTAATCAAAACGTTTGTGACAATAAATATTAAGTTTCAACCTTTGGATACAATACGTAGGGCAAGTGTGTAGTAGATAAAAACACTTTTTAATCCAAAATACATGAAAATAGAAACTAGCTAATTTTTCATTATTATAACTACTATTCAGACCGTCCAGAATAGTCCGGGAAAAAGCCTAGCATTTGCGACAAAATCCGGACTTTTCGGTAACAAAATAAAATCTAAAATCTGTATCTCACACGGCAGCTCAGCTAAGCAAGCGCCCGGGCAACCAAATTTTTGTCGAGTTTTATTCACATCTTACAAAATGGTTTGATATGATTATTCCTTATTCAAATTCATCTACAAAAATCCACTAAACCGTCATTTCAAGGTGTCTAAGAGCTCCGTACGCGTGAGTAGATAAAAAGGGAGTACGGTGGGGAAGCCCTCATTATCCAGCGCAGTAAGTGAGAGTCTACACTATTGCGAGGTGGATACTTTACTTTTTATTCTGAAAGTTGTTAACCTAAGAGCGGTTACATATGGCGACTTTTAGCATCGACGCAAACGTGATGCAAGCGCGCGACTGCATCGATACAAACGCGCGATTGCATCGCTACACCTGGGATTTATAGGCGATTCCATCGATGCAAATCGCAAGTGTAGCGATGGAATTGCGTGTTTAACGAAAGCGCGTTTGCATCGCTGCTAAAAGTCGCCGTGTGTAACTACTCTAAGCCGGAAAATCTGGACGTAATTCGGACAAAATCCGTGCAGAGGGTAACCCTAGTCCAGGAACAATTTAAAAATGATTGTTTTAGAGATTGTTGCTGCTGGGAATCAAACTCGCGATCTTCTAAGCTAGCGCCCACAGTGTTGAACCACCGAGGTCGTCACATTATAGACAACATTGTAATCTCATGAGACTATTTTCAAAGGTTCGCGAGTACTCTAGCGCGTTGGGTGACTTGGTGTCCTATAAAAAATATGTTTTTTTTTGTGTTGAAACACAGTCGTATTAAGCTCAAAAAGCAGCAGTTCCAATAAAAAAATATTTTCTCTTTACTCGTGGCCAAATATATCTTGGTAGTTCTGATATTAAATTTACATTACAGCCGTCCTTATGATAAACAACGTTATTGAAATTTTTATCGAAATTGAGATATTAACATATCTGGAATCAGCAAAACAAGATCTACAACCGCCTATAAGCAGTTTTTTTATATCTTATTTAGTTTCAGTTTTATTGTTAAGGCAATTCAGCGTAATTGACATTTTTCAAAGACATAAAAATTTTGGTTCCAACAGGTACCTCGAAAGTTACCAAAATGCAAATGCGTTGTTTATGACAAGTAGGGCAGAGTAGGTACGTAAACAATATTAGCTACAATGTAAAATTTACGCTTGGTTGGGCAGAAAGATAGGTATAAGAGTTTCAACGTGACTCACAAAGAATTATTACTTACATGTGAAGTTCCATATCCTTATGTTCTTGCTCTAATGAAACTTCCATTTCGCTGCGTTCTTCGAGCGCCGACTCCAATGCCTTAGATAGCGCCTCACTTTGCATTTTTAAATGCGTCCGTTTTGCGGCTAACCTTCCTGAAAGAATATTAGAAAATTCTAGAAATTCATTATAACGTCTCACAGTTTATGGTGAAACTACTGGCATGTGGGGCTTGTCAATTTTGCTTGTCAGGGTGACGGGTGCAGTGACAGCGCCTCTCAGATTTTATGATTTAAAGCTCTGGGTGGTACTGCAACTGTTATGGGCAGGCATGTCGCTTATCACCAGGCGCACGACTTGTTCGTCCCGTCACTTGATATTATAAAAAAGTTTCTTGTATAGTTTAGATATAATCACAAAGGACTTGCGAACTAAGGTATCGATGATTTATTGAATATCATGATGTTTTACTACCATAATATTCACATATTTTTTGTGAAAATACTCCCCCAGTCTGTTACTATTATTGATGCAAATATTGGCCTCGGTACGGCAACAGACGCTGGTACGGTTCCTATCAGAGCGAAGAAATTTTTCTTTGTGTTATTTGATCTTTGTGTCAATAATAATAGCGATTATTTTATTTATTCTTCCTGGTGGTAACTTTTATGATTACGATGAGAAACGGTTGAGTAGATTTGACGAGAAGGAAGCAAGTCGTACCCAAAGGCTATTTATGCCTATTTTATCGTCGACATTCAGTCCACTCATAAATCGAGCTCCAATTTTATGGACGACTGAGTACCTATACCAGAATTGTTATAATATAATTAAGTATGGCTGCCAATATGTAATAAGTTTTGCTTTCCAATTATTTCATGGAAATGTTTTTAGCTTTGTAGTTTGTAGCCTTAAGTAAATTAGGTACTCATTGTTGTATAGCGGGTTCTTATGACGTCTTTGTTAAGAAGACACGTCTGTCTTCTGCGTCTTCATGCGTCCATGGGTTAAGATTTATAAAACGAAATTTTACTCCGACTCAGCAAAGATGGGGACGTTATAATTTACGAAGTAAACTTAAAGTTTAATTTAATTTGCTGCTTAAGTTTAGACAAAGTTCGTTTTGTAAATAAGAAAAATTTGCAATTCTCGCCATTTTTGCTTAGTCGAAGTCAAAGCTCGTTTTATAAATCCAGCCGTAGTTAAAAGTATTAAACAATAAAATAGACTCACACTGCATTAAAAACATGCAATAACTAGGAAATAAAGTTTTCATCTAGTTTTAAAAACTAGATGAAAACAAAAATTGATTCTAACGTAGAATAAGCAGAGCTTACCGTTTTCCTGGTTAAGGTTCTCAATGTCAAGGCTCAAAACGCGCGAAATACGCACAGCATTCAACGTGTCTCGGAATTTTTGGTCATTCTCCGCATCCAAATCAGGCAACGAGGAATGCTGGGAAAAGGTTAAACGTGAATAGATTTACGCGTAAACTATGTTTAATAACACAAACGGTACACTCACTTGTAAAACCAATTCATTTTCTATTTCATCAAGAGTGGATTTCAACAAACAAATTTCTATTTGACTCTTTTCCGTAGAAAACATTTTATCGCATTAGCAACACGAATTATTTATTCACTTTCTATTTTATTCCCGTCACAAACAGATTTTTTTCTGATAATTAGTGCAAGAAGACGTGAAAATTAAATTAAGTCATTTGTTTTTTGTAAAAAAACGCGCGAATATGGATTTTTTTAAAGCAAAGGCAATGTTGTTTTTTATTCAGCCTCCTAATCTTGTAATTAGGTTCTTTTTTTTATTTCATTGGTGAGTCAGGGGCGAATAATTGATTTATTGAGTATGCAAAAAATAAGACGTCGAAAATAAACTTAGGTAAGAGTCTAACGTTATATTACCAAAGTCGTTATTCTTACTCGTATATAAACTGAATCTATTAGATAACAATGTGGTATATATGCCATTCGGCAAATTGGAATTCTGGTCGAAGACAAAGGAACAATCAGTTGCATAAATTGATCGTACTACGTACATACAGTACTTGGGGGATGTCTACCATAATAATAATAAACTGAGATATGCTATTTGTCATATAACTTTACGTTCTAGTTATTACATTGATATGACGAGTGTTAAATGTAACATATCGGTTGAGGTTATGTTACATTTGTCAGTCGCTTCACCATTTTAGCCTTAAGTGTGAGGTGTTAGGCAGGTGAAATTCAGGTAAACAGATGTAAGTTTATGGCGTGCTGCGAATGTTATTATGTCACGTACAAAATTTGCATAAATAACCCTAAATGTGAAACTTCTGAGGTGAGATAGTGTTGAATTAAAGTAAAGTGTCGTAAGTGTTTACAGTGGTTTTTATTAACAATATAAGATGTTATTTATGTATCCAGATAGGTTCCCTTCGTGGAGGTCAATCATAATAACCTAGTTTGCTCCACAATGTATGCCAGCCCTCTTTGGGTTATTAACATAATGTCTGGGATCAACGAAAATGAGATATACCACCTTCACTGTTCGGTTTTTAACATCTTATTTAGTTTCAGTTTTATTGTTAAGCGAAATCGGCATAAGTTACATTTCTTTAGGTGACATCATTTTGAAAGTTATCGAAATCATTGCACCTAAATAAGTCACAATGTTGCTATAGCTGTTGGTATGCCAAATGATTTAAAAAAAAATGCAAATGCAAATGAGCTAGTTATAACAAGGAGAGTAGAGAGTATGATGTCCAAAATGTATGTCTTCTTATATTAGGTATCTAGGAGATAAAATTGTATTCATAGTTCCCGAATTTTATTGTCACCGATTTTTTTTATAATACCTAGTGAAGGGACGAACAAGTCGTGCGCCTGATGGTAAGCGACATGCCTGTGCGTAACAGTTGTAGTACCGCTCAGAGCTTTAAATAGCAAACATCTGAGGGGCACTGCTACAGCGCCCGTCACCCTGAGACATAAGTTGACAAGTCCCATAGGCCTGTAGTTTCACTAGCACCCTTAACCTTCAAAACCGGAACGCTGTTAATGGTCACATTACTGATGGTAAGCGACATGCCTGTGCATAACAGTTGTAGTACCGCTCAGAGCTTGAAATAGCAAACATCTGAGGGGCACTGCTACAGCGCCCGTCGCCCTGAGACATAAGTTGACAAGTCCCATAGGCTTGTAGTTTCACTAGCACCCTTAACCTTCAAATTCAGAACGCTGTTAATGGTCACATTACTATGGTAAGCGACATGCTTGTGCATAACAGTTGTAGTATCGCTCAGAGCTTTAAATAGCAAACATCTGAGGGTCACTGCTACAGCGCCCGTCACTCTGAGACATAAGTTGACAAGTCCCATAGGCCTGTAGTTACACTAGCACCCTTAACCTTCAAAACCGGAACGCTGTTAATGGTCACATTACTGCTTGGCGGCAGAAATAGGCAAGGTGACAGTACTTCCCTGGACGAACTCTTTTACAAGGAGCTCTACTGCTATTTAAATTTGTTAACATGCCGTCATCCAAGTAGGTAGGAATAGTGTTAATCCTATGCAACACTCTAACTCTCACACTGTAGTCTTTCCAACTGCTCTAATTATTATAGTTTAACCGTATTTTCTTAATTTACCTAAATTTTCTTTGATTACTTACGTTTGTTTAAGTATACGGTTCTATGAGGTTGACTAATTGTTACGTTGTAGTGTCTTGGTTTAAATATTAGTTCTAGACCGACACACAGGGTAGGCTAAACAGATTGACTGCATGTTTGCTGTTAATGCGTGAAATCGTAATCAAGTTACGTAAACAACAATCGTGGTCTCGGCTGCATGAAGTTGGTTTCGATTGCAAGCAGTTCCGGAGGTCCACCACGTGCCGCTGAATATTGCGATAACTATGAACAAAATTCCATTCAACCGGCGCCTCAGATAAACATAGCAACAATAACAACGAACACGCTTTCAATGTCAGTAGACCATTTCGAAATTTTAAAAAAGCTAACTTTATGGAACTCTATATGCAATTGTCGTGTATTGACTGGGCACCGGTCTGTTTGTCTTCTGATACCAATGAAGCAGTTAAGGTTTTCTATAATTTAATTTATGATAAACTAAACTCTACCGTGCCCTATAAGACGAACTATAAGTATTATAAATTATCTAATTATCCCGCATGGTACAGCCCAGAGCTGATTAGCCTAATAAAATTGAAAAAATATTATCACACAATATATAAAATTACTAATTACGGATTATATTACGCCTATTTTTATTATTATCGGAAACAGTGCAAACAGTTGACTATTATATGTGACCGCGCTCACATGAATAAAATAGAAAATAATATTAAGTGTGACGCGGGAGCATTTTGGTATCATATAAAGGCAAACAGACAATCAAACGACCCGTCTACGTTCGGTGGGTCCAGCTCGCAGGATGTAGCTGACGAATTTGCGACGTTCTTTAAAAGCGTATACTTAACATCGACACCCTTATTGAATCCTAATGATGCTTTCGATGCGGTAGCTGCTTTACCCTCCACATCGTCACGGTGGTTGACCGATCTACATATTGCGATGAGCCTAGTAACAGAATCTGATGTTTGCTCTGCAATGAAACAATTAAAGCCTAAATTGACCCAAGGCCCTGACGGTATTCCACAGGTAATAGTTAGGGATTGCAGGGAAGTATTTTCAAGTCCCCTAGTTCACATTATTAATTTGTCCTTAAAACAAAATACATATCCTAGTCTCTGGAAAACTTCAAAAGTTATACCTATACATAAATCAGGATTAAAATCTGAAATAAAGAATTATCGTGCAGTGGCTGTGTTATCCGTCTTCGCAAAGGTTATGGAAACCGTTTTGTACAGGTCAATTTATAATCAACTTAGGGGGTGGTTCTGTGACCAACAGCACGGATTTTTGCCAGGCCGCTCTACCGCTTCCAATTTGATCAATATCACCACCACCATTGCTAATGAGTTGGACTCTAGAAAGCAGGTCGACGTAGCTTACCTGGATTTCCAGAAAGCTTTCGATCGAATTGACTGTGACGTTCTACTTCAGAAATTAATCTTTACCGGTTTCTCTAAAAAATTAGCCACATTTTTTGCTGACTATTTTACCGGCCGTCAGCAGTACGTATGTTACAACCGTTGTCAATCCACACTCTACACAGTAAACTCAGGTGTGGGCCAGGGAAGTTGCCTGGGACCGCTCATGTTCTTAATTGTGGTTAACGACTTACCACAAACTATCCAGCATAGCAAGTGCCTTATGTTCGCAGATGATGTGAAATTGGCTCTAACTATTAGGTCCGAAGCTGACTGTGAGCTTCTCCAAAAAGATATAGACAACGTACTTAAATGGGGTGGTGATAACAGTTTAACCTTAAATGCCGACAAATGCACCATTATGTCATTTGCTCGAACTCGCAAACAAATAGGCAATGTCTACAAAATAAAAGACTCTCAGATCAGTAGGGCTACATCTGTCAAGGATTTAGGTGCTTGGTTCGATACTAAGCTGAATTTTGGTGAACATATCTCAAAATTAAGTAAATCTTCACGTAAATGTCTAGGTTTCATCTTAAGACAATCAAAGTCCTTCAAAGATAACCGCACATCTTGCCTTTTATTTAATGCTTTCGTTCGTAGTAAGTTGGAAAGTAATAGCATAATTTGGAATCCCGTTCATCACAACCACATATTGGCCTTAGAAAAAATTCAAAAATCATTTGTCCGTAATCTCTATAAAAGAACATATGGTTATTACCCCCTGCTTTATCCCACTACCTTCATCTTGGGTATGGTCAACTACAGAACATTGGAAGTGAGACGCAATTTGGCTCTGGTGACTTATGTATTTCGTTTAATCCGTGGAATCTCGTATAACTCGGAAATGTTGTCGATGATAGGTTTTCTGGTGCCCAGAGCTAATTTGGTGCGAACTCACAGAAAGACTTTATTTGCAGTGCATGCTACACGATCAAAGATAAGTGAGTTGGCCCCACTCCCAAGAGCGCTTAAATATCTTAACCAGATGCTTCTCTTTGACTCCTCATTGGATATATTTACATGCTCGGAGCATGGATTCGTAGTTTTCGCGGGACGGTATCTTGAAACTTTGACCGGAGACAGCAGTATTGTGTAACTTGAGATAAATTGACTCATTGGTAATGATACTTTGTTCCATTTTACAGTAAAATAAATAGGATAATAATAATGTTATTGCAATGTAATTGATTCTATATAGGTAATTATTCAATTTTGTTTAATTTATTAGTTCATTGTGTTTTTTAATTCTATTATTTTTGTATAAATATTTAAATACCACCTATTTTTCTACTTGCTATTGCGTTTGGATATCTATCTGTAAGCAATATGTAAATAAATAAATAAATAAATAAATAAATTTACAATGAGCTTTTCGGTAAAGGAAAATACCACGAGGAAACGTGGCACACACAGCACACATCTCTAAAACTTATTTAATGATGTGTATGAGAAAAGTATATTATGATGACGCCCTCTTAAGATATAGCTGCGCGTTCGACTTCTTCAGTATTACACTGACTAACTAACACTTCTATA